ATCCTAGGTAGACCAGGATGATACTCTATGTGTAAATGATGTTTTGATTATCTTTTTGTATTAGTGTTTATTGTAGTAATCTGTAGTGTGTAGGTCTACATGGGGGGCGGGGCTCATTACCCCGGCGTGTCTCTGGCGTCCATGTAGGACCCCCCCCTTGCTAAAGACCACCATGCTGTCCCTTTTGCACATCTTGGGACACTGGTGCGAAGCTAAAACAAAAAGGGGTTAATCAAAAAAGCAAGGGGTTAATCTTACATGGTCTAGGGGCCGACTAACCTATCCCTTAGGACCTTCGGTCCGAGCTCCCTGATCAGCCAAGGGATAGCGGTATTGGGGTCGAAATCTCCAGCATAGCCGTAAAAGCTTTGCGCTGCCATACGACGGTTCAGCACTCGATGTCTGGAAATATGGTCCCGAAATAAGCTAAGCAGCTATAAAATCTTATGATTAAAAACTTAAAAGAAAGGATAACATGATTTGCCGTTATTTCATAATCCTTTTCTTCGGGTTGATCAAAAACCTCGGTAGAATCAAAAACTAGATTGAAGTCACTAAACCCGTGAAATAGATATTRGACAAGAGAATATGAAGTATTAATATTCTCTTGATATTAGACTAATACACTTTAGTAGATCCTAACTGCATTGTTTTCTTTTGTATCTATTTGACTATAGAGATTATCACATGTTTTAGATGTTTTAGATGTTTTTAGAACTTGACATCGCTATCACATATTATTAGAGCTTCTCATACTCGTGAATATTTAATGAGGAGAAAACAAAGCAAATCACTACTGTGACGGTGGTTTGGAAATGTGTTCTTAATTTGCATTAAACTTCGTAAACTTTTTCTTTGATTTTCTCCAAGAAATGTTCATTAGTTTGAGTTAACAGATCAAAAACAGTTTTCCGTGTTTGATACTCTGATCAAAACACTTGGGATGTTGGGAGAACACGAGAGGAGCGTAGGAAACCACGACGCGTAGCAGAGTGGTTTCCAGCTTCTCGAGTGTTCTCCCAACATCCCAAGTGTTTTGATCACAGTATCAAACACGGAAAACTGTTTTGGATTTGTTTTATAAAATAACAAACTCGCGAAAAGATCGAAAAAAAAGCAAATTTAAGTAAATTCTCCCTACCTGCCGTCTTGTTCAAAATGACCAATGAGCGCGCGCGATAGATTAAAATCTGACAGTTGATATACTCACGCGCGCTAAAATGACGCGAGCGTCTCATACTCATACGTCTCATACTCATCAAACATGGTTTTCGACCAATCGTAGCGCGCGTACTATCCCAATTATTTTATAAAAGTAATTTCAAACACTTCAGAGAGTTCTTCCTCCGATTTCCAAACACCGAAAAGTGAGTTGAAAAAACGAGGCGCAGCCGAGGAAGAACTCTCTCGCGTGTTTGAAATATTACTTGACATCGTTTTTATTCACGAGTTTTTCGCCCGGGGGGGCACTCCCCTATATTTGCTATACGGGTATGTGCCGCCCTATAGGGTATGGTTTTTAGGCTTTTGGGTCTGGAGTAGGGTATCATTTTTTGACATTTGGTATGGGATAGGGTATCATTTTTATCAGCAGGGATAGGGTTAACGACTTGGTCGTTTTTGTCTGGCGAATAGGCTATGCATTCTGCCGACACAAAAACAATAAAAACGTTAGTAAATATTGATTGCAATCTATTGAATAACCGTCTTTTCCGTCTTTTAGTCTGGGATAGGGTGTACAATTCTTTGTTTTAAGTCTGGGGTAGGGTATGTAAAATCAAAATTTTAGGTCTGGGATAGGGTCAGGGTTTTGAGGTCCTGGCGGCACACCCCTACCCAAGTTGGGGTGGTAGTACCCCCCTCCCCCCCCCGCCCGTGTTTTTCGTATCATATCGCGAACGGGCGAGTCCTCGAGCGAGTAGACTACCTTAGTAGACCTTAATTCCATTGTTTCCTTTTGTAGTCTTTTTGTGTCTATTTGACTATTACACGCGGACTTAACAATTATTCGCCGAAGGCGAAGTGAATATCGGAATATTTACCGAGACGCGAGGTAAATATTCTCTATATTCACTGAGCCTGAGGCGAATAATTGTTTTAGCATGTACCAACTTGTGTACAGAGTAACCTGTTTTTATATAATTCAATAAAAACAAACGGAGACTTTTAGTTTGCGTGACGAATTCACGCAAAACGTTTAGCAAAACGTTTAAGCTATACTTCGTTGCCTTTTTAGTATTGATAGGAATGGCATTTACTTTCATYTTTTCAATTTCCTCATCGGAAATTGTAGCAAAACGATTGCCGGCAGATGCCATTTTATTGCCGACTCAATATTCCGGGATTCAGAGGTGAATATCGTACAATATTCACCTCCAATTAACCAATGAGCGCGCGCGTTCTTAGGAAGTACACAAGTTGGTACATGCTAATAATATTTCACAGGTTAAATGCCTTCACTCTATATTTTATGTGTGCTCAGGAATCCCTAATTGAGTTTATCTTGCACTAGTTCTCATCAACACAGTATAGTTTCAATCAAAGTGTTTTCTCGTGACAGTCATGAAACATGCCCAATGAAACGCCTAGATTGACATCAACCAAAACCTTCTTCGTTAGATGACGATCCCACATATTGTAAAATCGATGGGAGAATGTTTAGAGTTTTCCACCAGATCCACAGGAATCTCACATGAATGAATAAAATTTCGGTGCCTAGATACGAGGTACAATACGATAACTTGTAATCAAAGAAATAGGAATTACACTTATTTTTTTTCATGAGGAAAGAAGAAAAAATAAAGTACGCAGTTGTCAGAGATTTTAGTCAAACTTTTTGGGTGGGTGTGGGTGCCTCCTAGTTACGTCCCTGGTAACTTAACTGGAAGCAATCTGAATACCATTCTAAATACCTGGATATTCATTAATGAACCCTTTTCACTTTATACATCTATATTTGTAAGTTTAATTTTGCTAGGAATGTGGAAAAATCAAAATCTTGAAGGACACTAATGCCAAAAATGACACACTACATAATATAATCATATTGTACAAATACTTCAAAATGTGCAATGTGTTCATCTTATCACTTCTTGTATTGTGCTAATAAAGTCAAAGATAAAAAAGCAGCATATTGATGAAAAGACAGTAGTTTGTATTTCTTTTTACATTTTCTGATCTCAGTTTTTCATTAACGTTTCCAGTATTGACTTTATATTTACTGTCAAGCCATATTTCAGTTCAAGATGCAAAGACTTGAATGCCATCCCTTGTGCTTGTTATACCATCTTTCAATACCCCTTTCTTCCCCTGAATCTTGCCCTAAAGTCAAGCTATAAAAATAGCAAAAAAAAGGACACTATTAATATAATTGTCATAATTTTTATAATTAATATAAAAGTCAAGCTATAAAAAATAGCAAAAAAAAAAAAAAAAAAAAGGACACTATTAATATAAMTATGGTGCAGGTTTTGAAATTAAAAAAATTCAAATCTTTGGAGGTCTCCTACAATATGTGGTAGATAGACTGCAGTATTTACAAAACTGTGCTGTATGTTTAGTTTTGAGAACTCACAGATCAAAACATATGACTTACGTACTTTGTAAATTGCTCTGACTCCTGGTTAATAAATTATATATAACGCATTAAACAACATGGCACCACAATATCTAACAGAATGCCTGTATCAATTATATACCAACCATGAGATTACTGCGGTTTTCCATATTCTGCAAACTCAGACATTTCAATGGGTTATTGTGAGATTGGCTTTTTACTACCACCAGTCAAGAACATAAAAGGTACTGACTGATTATTTTTGATCCACAGCAGCAAAAAGAGAACAGATTTTAGCGTGCACCTTGCAACTACCGGGTTAGCAGAATATTAAAAACCACAGTACAATCAACAACCAAAAACATACTAAAGATACCAAACAGTAATCTATGAAGTCAAATGGAGAAAGATCATTCCTGAAGCTTGGAATGACTACCAGATGACATAATAGCAAATCAGTATTGCTATGCTATTGTCTCCAAAAAAAGATCAGACTGAAACTTCTTACCGGTGAAAAAGGTCTAGATTGGGTATATCACATATATATTATATATCCTTCTATTGTAATCCCTTTGTGGTCGATGTATTAAAATTACAGGAAACTGAATCTTACCATTGATCTTTTGCATTCAAAGAATGCATACTGTATTTTTCTACATTCATCAGTAACACCTTCTGCTTCTGACCTCATGCAGTAATTGGGATTGTTTTTATTCTGAAAAAGGAGTTTTTATTTGGTCTTGAATTGGTGCACATCAATATGAGAAACATGATGTCAGAAGTTGCATTTGAAATTTGTAATATGACTTATTTTATGTCTGAAAAACAGGGGAAAAAATAAAAAATTCAGCAACAAGGAAATTTCCCATTAAATATTTTCAAATAAAAAAATATGTGAACTACATAGCGTCGGTTACCTTTATTTATTATGAGGAATGCCTGGGAGCTTTGAATCCGAGTTTGACTTTTCACTGTTTTGCTTTTGGCCGTTTGACAAATCGCCTGAAGACAAAATGTCGGAGGCCAAGTGGAGAAATGTCAAAAGCCAAAGTCTTTCATGACAAAATGCGGGACAATAAAATGTCAAAAGGGAAATTCTTTTATGACAAAACGCTGGACGGCAAGTTCGCCTGAGACGAAATGTCAAAATGTCTTATGAGAGACGAAATATTACAAGAAGAATTTGATCAAAAAGACAAACTCACATTGTAATATGGCCCTAAAGATCAGTGTACCACCTGGCAAAACTGAAATTACATTTCAGGATTTCTAAATTTGGAGATTATTTTCCGGATTATGAAATTATTTTTCTGAATTTGGAAATTATTAGCTAGATATCAAAACTTAAATTTGAATCATGAATCCAGACTACTTTGACAATGCGATGACGCAATTTATCATCAATAAGAGGACAGACACATTAAAAACTGATATCTATTTGTTAAATAATATATAGTTTAGTATTGATGAAAAGGTAAATTATACACCGTGAAAAAGACTCCGACGAAGGACTAGCGTCCAAAACGTCAGTAAGTTTTTTCATCTTTTCACGGTGTATAATTTACGTTTTCATCATTACTGTTTCATTAGAAACACCGACACAGCTCACACAAGTTTTTAGCTAGTTATATCTTTATAGTTTAGTATATTAAAGTGTAAGTTGACTGGAATTATGACCTGTACGGGCTACACCAAGCTAGTCAGCTAGCCATCTATTATATAATTACAAATGTTTGGGTCAAAGTCAAAGTTTTCAGGGAACACTTCTGAAATTTTCTCACATGACCTCTAAATCAAAGTCCATTGGAAATCGTCACTTAGGTTAGTCTACGCGAAGCGTACGCGAATTCAAGGCTAAATGATTTCCGAATACGGAAACGCTTTTCGAAAAATAAGATTTTGAAAAGTATAAGCAAAGAAAAAGCAAATGACGAATAATGCTGGATAATATTAAAAGCAAAACTCATAATTGCCCAGGTGTAGCACTTATTCCTAAATCACTTTGACTTTTGAACTTCTGATTTTTTTGACTTTGATTTTTTTTATTGCCGCTCTCGGCCACCGTAATTTACAGCCATCCATGCATGCATCAAACAATACATAAACCATTATTGTATTGCATTGTATGCGTGTGTACATACAGTACTAACTTACCTTGACCACACAGTCACTCTTAAGAATGCATTCTTTCAACTCTTTCCGCAAACCACCACACGCTTTACCATCCCTCTGATGGTCATGCACTTCCTCTTGATCAGAGTCCATTCTTAAATGTGTACTTCAGATTTCTTATTTAACCATTTGAACACTTATAACATTAAACCTTTCGATCGTCAGTCAGTCCGCCATCTTGTTTTGATGGAAATAACCACTGACCCCAAGAATGCGGCGCAAAAATACCGCGGACCTACATTAGTGCGGGCGCATTTGACCACATTTGTTGTTCAAAAACCTTCGGAAAGAGGAAATGTAGAAGAGTTTGTCTCCCTAGAAACCATTTATTCTATGATTATATTACGAAATGGAGGAGTCTAGAGGTTTAAGCTGTTCAGTCTGTTACAATGCGTTTACATCTGTAGAAGATCAAAGTGTTCCTCGTAATCTAAATTGTGGACATACATTCTGTACTGGTATGCTGTATGCTAATGCTAATTTTAGGTTTCAACCATCGATGTGTTTGAGTTTTATTTCCCTGAAATATAGTGGCTCATAAATCTTTCAGAGCAATCCAGGGACTAAGTCAAAAAGAATAGAACTGGCTTCATACAGCATACAGCTACGCTGACTGTGATGTGTGGTGTGTTGGCGGGTTTATATATACATGACACCCCATCTACCTGTACATGTATATTATCCATACTCATATACTCATTTAGTTGATGTTTGTGGATTAACATACCTACTACATGTATATCATATGTCAATATGTTATTAGAGTTGAGTTGTGTTTTGATTCAATGCTTAGTCCGTTTTGAGTGAATAGATTCAAAGAAGGAGAAAAAACAGCATTGGAGGGACTTTAACTACTGTATTTTCAAAAGAGACCACAGTTTGGGCAGGCCTGTACAGCAGCCATCGGTGTTGGGGGATGTTGTTGGGGGAGTGAGATGAGAGAAATCCCAAATCCAACTCTCCTGGCCTCCATGCCTCAACGTCTGGAGAGCTGAACATCTTCTTTTCATTCTAGCCTGTCTTCAAAAGATTGCTGCTCAGTCCCTTCATGTGTATGTCAAATGCCCAGCCTGCAAAACTGAAACACCACTGCTTGCAAGTGGTCGCACTATGAGAAGTATCTCTTCCCTTCCAAAGAACTTCGGACTGCTAGAAATTATAGAATGTAAAGAAAAGAAATCTAATGTCAACCATGCAAGTACTTGTGATACAGCTGACATAGGCAAAGATAAAAGTAATAATAATATCTGTAAGGAGCATGATGAAATTAAGAAAGTTTACTGTTTCACAGACCAGTGTCTTATCTGCATATATTGTCAGGTATGTATAAATAGATCTATAATACAGTTTATGAATTCAAAGCTATAGGACTTGGGTCTGAGTGGGATCTGGCATTGGTTAAAAAAATCGATGCAAAGATTTCTGGGACCATTGCCCTTGCTCCAAGAATATTAAGATGTCACTGCATCAGAACTTCTTCAACTTTCCTTGTTTTATACAGACACTTTAGCACCTGTAATACATAGAAGTCATCACCTTAAAACAACTTTATTTTGCTCCAGGCACATGAAATAAAACTGATAATTTATAAATGATTTGCTTCATTGACCCAAAAATTGTGTTTTCAATACAACCTAGCTTTCAACCTCTGCAGTCAGGGCTAACGGTCAGGGCTAACATAATTGTTGAAGCAAGAAAAGACATTGGGGTACTTACCATATTGAGCAACTGCTCGTTTTGATGAGGGAGGGTCATGTGATCTGTTAGTGCAAGTCATCCATTTAAGTATAAATTTTTATCAATCAAAATTTAACAAAAATTTATATGATTCCATATATATGTTATATATGTTTAAAGCTTGGTGGCATAATAACATGTACTTAGTATATAATTTTTGATTATAAAATACAGATTTATGGAAAACATGAAGGACATGACTGTGAGTTAGCAAGCACATTAGCCAAGAGCTCAAGAGAAGAACTTCAGAAGATTTCTGATAAACTTGAAAGTGAATGTGATAGGCTATGCAAAGCAACGAGTGAAATATCTGACATGGAACATTCTATTGTAAATAGACAGTTTTATCTTAAAGACAGAGTGAAGAAGTACATGACTCTGCTTCATCACAATTTGACAAGACGGGAAGCATATATTATATCACAAATTGATGAATTGACAACAAGTAAACTGAAGGTGTTGGAGACACAAGAAAAGTGAGTACATGATTTGTCTATTTCCAAGATACTATTTTGCAGTTTGTTTTATATTTTCTTGATCAACAATGCATAGTATGCATACATACTGTAAACATCCAGTATCGAGAGCATGGAAAGTATGATATGGTATGTTATGCATTGTTGTGTATTTAAAAAATAAAATTATCTGGATATATCATGTACCATTATATATCCTAAAACTGTAAACCGCTACTTTGTGAACACACTAACTGAGACCACTTGAAGAAAGCTAACCATTCACAACATAGAGTGAAAAATGGAATGGAATCAAATGGAAATCAAACTTAAGTCAAACTTGAACCAATCAGGAGCAAGCAATAAACCTTTGTTATTTGAGGAAAACTTAGATCTCAGATATTAAGAATGAATATGAATAAACAATTATGATTGTCTGAGGTCAAAATGATACTGATTTTACTCTCTCCTGATTGGTTTCAGTTATTGTGTCCATAAAGTAATGTTATGTGTTTTTTTTATCATTCAGAACCCTGTCTGAGGTAATACACAAATGCAAAGAAATGTATCATCTAATTCAAACAGTACAAAATGATGGTGATAATTGTGTGATTGAAGACAAGCCTACAATAGAGAAGCTTGTAGATGAGATGTCTTATTTGGCAGAAGCTTGTCAATTACAGCCACAAGCAGACAACAATTTGATGTTTGAATTTGACGAGGATGTACTAAATATTTTGGAAAAATCATCTGGAAGAATTATGGAAATAGGTAAGAGAAAGGTCTTCAGTAAGCAAAACAATGCGCAGGCAGTACTATCAGATACTCTTTGCTACTTTCCATTGTATAGTGCAAAGAGTTGGAAGAGGGTGGGTCTGTCAAAATTGTAATTCTTGGTCTCCCATTTTTTCATGTAATAAAGCATCTCAAGATTATATCTAATATTTTAAGGTTAATTCAACCCTAAGTTTGACGAACATTTGTCAAGTTTTGAACCTAAGCAGTCATTTTCAGGACTAATAAGCTTAGTAAGTTTGACAAATTGCCAAGAATTTAGAGAGAATGTATGCCCCCCCCCCCCCCAACCATACATTCTTTTTAAATTTTGCACTTTTGAAGCATACAATTCAGTTTCTTTAGAAACACGTTCCAATTTGCCAAATTTACTAATCCTGAGATGCTTCATCAAATGACAATTTTTTACCAATTAGATGAAAATTGAAAACTCGCCCCAGTCTCTTGCTCATTTCTAGAGTGGATAATAGATCTTTTTGGTTTGGGCATAATCTTTTCCATTTCAGACCATGTGTCATTCCACTGAGAATAAGATTTTTCGCTTGAGTTATATTTATATTCATGTATCTTCTCATGCTCAACTACTACACAAAGAAATGATACTCTAGAGAATGACACGTGGCATGAAATGGGAAAACATTACATCCAAGACAAAAAGATCTAGCGTTGTGTCATTGATATAAAGACATTACCAATGTCCTCTATTACACTTTTAACCCCTTAGAGGCTGATGAAGAACAGAGCGATAGTAGTGTTGACTCCAAGCAACATATGCTTGACAATGCATTATCAAATCTGGACAAAGAGTTGCATATTAGCAATACTCAGTTGAGCCGGGCAATTGAACAGGAAGACACCATTGCCGAACATGTTGATACAGAAAGTGAAGAAGATGATAGTGAAGAAGATGATGGTGATGAAGATGAAGGAGAAAATTCAGAGTGTACAACATCTTCTTCAGATGCAGATGAATCTGAGCAAGAGGAAGCTGAAAACATAGAGAATATGAACGACACAAACGGTGAGTTACGGGCTCGTACAAAATATCAGAAAAACAAACAAACAAGAAAGTCAGCCTGCAGAAGAGTATACTCCCAACAACTAATATAGCGAATTATAAAATAACTGTTATGAATGTCGCGTTCCAGGGGCGTAGCGAGGACCTAGGAGCTGGGGGGCACTGATCCAAAATAAAAAAAAATTCAAATTCCCACGTGCAGATTCCAGGCTCTGACCGGGTTCGCAGTGCACAGGTAGCCCGTCCGGATAACTTCGTATAAATTCGCACTTTTGTAGGTTGTAATAATTTATTTTCCTCTTTCGTGTCGGTTTAATATGTTTTTTTGTTATTCTTTTTTCCCCTCGCTACGCTACTGTCGCGTTCTGATTGGTTTGGAGCGCGTGCTTTATGAGAGCACATCGCACGCGCGCGCACTTTCCGTTGCGTCATTCCTATCTAAAATAACGGTTATTGTAATTTGTATTTTATAAAAGAAATAAAAAACTTGCTTGCTGTGCTGTGTGCAGTCATAAAGCACTTGGGGGTTGGCGGAACACTCGAGAAGTGTCGAGAACACTAACACTTCTCGCGTGTTCTGCCAACCCCGCGTGCTTTATGACTGCACACAGCACGCGCGCGCGTTTTCTATTCAAAAAAATGCATTGTTTTCTCGGGGAATGAAAGTGTTTTTTTTATATTGTCAGCTTGAAAGAAAAATGCAGTGTTACTTCTCAACCACGGCAACGATGTCTTTCGTGGGGACAATGTAACTTCGTAGCAAAATGAACGTTTCCTCCAATTTGACTGAGGCCGAATATTACGATTCAGTGACTAGTTTGTGGTGTTCAAATTAGTTTTCTTTCTCTTCATCAGCTGATCAAGCAGAGGATGACGAGGCAGCCTCAGAAGGCGAACTATTGGGTGCTGTAGGAGGAAACGCATTACCTGAAGCACAACAAGACGAGAACAAACGTAAAGATATCAATGAAAAGCAAAGGTTGTTAAGGGAATTGCAACATGAAATTGAAAGACTTAGACTGCTTGGGCCGACTGGCGAAGTGATTCGAGTCATCGATGACAGCTCATCTTCAAGTGTCGAGAATGTGACTGATACAGGTAGCCGTATAACGAAGGTTCAGAATAGGTACCGCCGGTGCATGGGAAGACGATTTTCTAACAAGGGATGGGGGATGGAGACTCTTTATCATTCTCCAAATGTCACGCTTTTTGTTGTTGTGTCAAATTAAGAATGGATATACACTGTATAATAAATAATCGTTCTCTTAAAAAGGTTTCACAGTTCTTTTCTTTCCCCCCTTGTATTTCAGATGATGATAACGAGAACGACACACATGGTTTACTACTCGACTTTCAGATTAGAGTCAACAACGACTTAGGTCGAACGAAGCCGTCTCGCGCAACTGGTGGAACTGCTATCCAGGGAACGTTACCAAATAAAGATGTGTCAGCACGTAAGCATAGCAAGCCGCGTACATGTGGAAAAAAGCGCTGCTCGGTAGTAAACTGTCAACATCATGTCCACCCTTCCTTACAATGCAAGAACTGTTGTCTTGTCTTTTGTAGAAGATGTGCATCGTTATCACTGACCTGCAATAAGAGTGACTGTGGACATAACTATGTTAGCTACAGACATAGCGCGCATCACCTCAACAAAAACATCAAATCGAAATTTGGGAAGCACAGCGTTTCGAAATTACACAAGGTTTGCAAACGCGGCTCCATGCAACCGGCACCTCAGTGGATATGCAAGCGTTGTACCATGCTAAACGAGGGCCATGTATTGGTATGTGGGGCTTGTGAGACTAGCAAGGATTATGACCCAGAAGAAACAAGGAACGTTTGTCCAATGTGTACCCTTGTTAACGAACCTGGAAAAACCAATTGCGAGTTGTGCGATACAGATTTAGATGAGAGACAGTAGCCTGGATGAAGGATGTCTCGGAATCAAGCTCTGAACTAGTGCTTGAACATAGGCCTCACACATGTAGATAACCATTGAATGCAACTAGCTTTATATAACGCAGCCTTGTTACCGCCATCCATACACCTATATAACTGAAGTGGCCAATCTCCAGAGAATTTGTTTTTATGTTCTGGTAAAGCTTTCCCCTTCAAAGATTTCTCTACACTGTAAATTTGACGCTTTTTACATGTCAGTCAGTGCGCATCCCACGAAGTAAAAATTAGATTTCGTAATCAGAARAGTCGTCGTGATCATTCACATGATTCTGTAAATAACACAAATATACCCTACAAAATGAATGAATCTTAATTCTTGTGTAAATAAATTACAAATACTTGAATGACGAAATATTGTGAGACAAACGAATTCTGTAAATATTGAAGAATATTAAAACTGGCACATATGATGTATTGTTAGTTGTGACGTTTAATCTCTGCCACAGGAAAACCAATATAATGCTTATCAGGCATTAGTTCAAACTGGAATGTAGCTAAAGACACTAAAGACCCCTTGAAGCTTTTTGTAATGCAGCTCCTGGGGAACAAAGCAGTGGGTTCCAATTCTCAGGAGATTGGAATTCTTTTGTTTTGTCCCCCCAGATCGTCGTATGCAAGGGGTCTATGGATGATTAACAATATGAGTAAAATAATATTGTTAAATAATGGAAATAAATAATGGGATTTAACAAGGGTTCCACAGAGTGGCTCTTCCACTGGATTCCAATTGAAATTTAAGAGTTAATTTTTGCAGAGTGAGGACAACTGCGAAGCCCGGGAAAACGCCCTCGGAAAAACAGGAGAAACAACAACAATTCTACTCACAGGTCGCATTGATGAGAGGCGAGCGCTTTCATCTTGACGCCTAAATTTGAATTCTGCCAGGCAGCTCAGTGCGCAAGCTTCATCAAAATTCAAGACCTTGCTATATTTCCATAGATTGGAACCCAAAACAGCATAACATTTTTCCTGTAAACGTTCGTCACGACTTCCTCAAGGCGAGATCAAATATATGTAAAGTGATACCAAGATCCAATGCATGCAACCACTATACATTTTTATCCGCAAGAAGAAGTATACACTCAATTGAAGAATCGTTGTCGGGTTCAGAAACAGAACATAAAAGCTGAGACCGAAATGGCACATGGGAAGTACGTCAATTAGATGCATGCTGTGACCGGCGACCCATGGCATTATCCACTGTTTTTAATACGCGTTTGGCATTCTAATAAATTGACTGTATCGACTGTATGGATGGCGCAAATGAAAAAAATATGATATAATTATGTCATTTCCCATGTACCATTTCGGTCTCAGGTCTTATGTTATATGTTTCTGAACCCGACAACAATTCTTCAATTGAGTGTAAATAAAAACAACAAACAAACAAAGACATTCCGTGTACTTTATATGTCTTCGTTATCTTTCCGTGGTGGTACTTTTCGCTGCTCTCACAAACGTTATAATTGTCCTCATATAGCCTCTCACACTTCTGTTGTCGGTCCTAAATCCACTGTTAAAATCACTGACCACTTTGTTCGTACCACTTCTAATGTTGCATATTAGATCAAATGCACCCGTTGTAATCTTTTGTATGTGGGCGAGACTGGCCGCCGTCTTGGTGATCGCATGCGCATTTGCAATCATCTTTATGATATTCGCAATAACGATCCCACCAAACCAGTCTCCCGCCATTTCAATCTAGCAACCATTCTCTTTCTGACTTCATCGTTTTCGGTTTTTCTTTGACTAACGGCAACAATGATTGTCGCAAGACCAAAGAAATGCGGCTTATTCACCTATTGGGCACTCTTAGTCCCAACGGGATTAATGAACGCTTTGCTTTCAACTAACCCATTCTTTTGTCTTTTGATTGTTTGTTTTTGTTTCCTTGCCTACCTTGTTCTCAATGGTTTCTTTTGCCTTATTCTATCATATAAACACTCCTTTCTACCACCTCTTTCTCTTTTACTCCGACGAAGGACTAGCGTCCGAAACGTTAGTAAGTTAATTTCGCCTTTTCAATGTGTATAATTTACCCTTTTATCATTACTATATCTTACATAGAGTCTTTGCACCATCACGTGATGGCAGCAATGACAGGGGGCATAACAATAGAGTCTTTTCCCCATGGGAAACTGAATCCTTTCTAATGTAAATCAGATTAGACCAGAATCAATTGTTCCTGCCCCCTGTCAAAGCTGCCATCACGTGATGGCGCAAAGCCTCTAGAGATTTAGATTGACGTTTTTTCGCTGTGACCGCAAACCGTAAGCCGCGGGTAGACGTTTGTAGTTAGGAGTTTGACGTTGAAACCATGAGACCTTTTAGATTGGAGTTTTCACTTTCACCTCGAAGTAGGGAATTGGTCATCGAGAAGTAAAAACACCACGACAGCGCAACTCTGTACTATTTTTTGTAATACTGAATCACAAGAGTTTTATCCAAACAACTAATCCAACAAATTTGAACAATGACAAATACTATAGAACTAATGACACAATAGTCCAAAGAGAGGCTATAAGACCCGTCCGCAAACACGATATGTTTAAAAAAAAGCTAGGCGAGGTTTACGCAATCTCGTACCCAGAGCCCTTATTTCTTACTGCGCATGCTCGACGAAATAATTGGGCTCTGGAAAATTCCAATTTTTTTCTGTGCTGTGATTGGTTCTCGAGAACAAAGAAAGATACCGGAGGTAAAAATTACAGTACTAGGGAAAATAAACAAGGTGGCGTCTCGAATTAAGTACATCAAAAAAGCCTGTAGGGCCGGATTTTTCAAAGTTTTGCCGGTTTTGTAATGGAAATTGTATTGATGTCCATCCAATAGATATTTTCGGAGTTCATTTAACTGAAAACCATCTTCAAAACCTAATTTTCCAAGCGCAAATTCACATGCTCGTTGAACATCGTCCGCCATTTTGAATTTACCTAGTCAGTCATAATGCGCATGTGCGGGAAACCCAGAATCTGGGTCTTCCGGTTTGGAGTTTTCCAGAGCCCAATTATTTCGTCGAGCATGCGCAGTAAGAAATAAGGGCTCTGGGTACGAGATTGAGGTTTACGATTCCTGATTGCTAACGTATTGCGCATGCTCATTAGTCGTGTGTCTCAGATGAAGCTGCTGAAGCTCGAGTCACTGGTCTTAGCAAGGGGTTAATCTTACATGGTCAAGGGGCCGACTAACCTCTCCCCTAGGACTTTCGGTCCGAGCTCCCTGATCAGTCAAGGGATAGCGGTGTTGGGGTCGAAATCTCCAGATTAACCGTGAAAGCTTTGCGCTGCCATACGACGGTTCAGTACTCGATGTCTGGAAGTATGGTCCCAAATCAATGAACCAAAAAAAGATAACTGACGTCTTCATGATGGTCAATAGATAACATATCGAACTACAAAAAGCTTTTCATTAATTAACAAAAAGTAACGAGAACATGATTTTCTGCAAAGCGGTATTTCTTGAATAATTTATATTTCTTAACATTGATACAACGCTTTCTGATCGTAAAGGCCCTGATTTTCCCGGCAACTGGTCTACAAGTTGCTAGAGAATTGCAGAGTATATAGTGGTTGTCTCGCATTTTTTTACGCGTTGCGCGAAGAAAAACTCAGTTCTACTTTAACTGGTTACGAATCTTTAAAATCGAACTGTTCTCTTCTTCTCGTAATCAATTCGAATCGTTTTTAGTTTGGTGTCACTGACGTCAATCAAATCACTGGAGCTTTGTTGAGGATCTTCTTTCTTCTGTGATTTGTTATTGTTCAAAGACTGTTCTTTCTTTGCTGGTTTGTCTGTCATATTATTAAGGTCACGTTGTACTATCTCCAAGACCTGAGCCTCAGCCTTAGTTTCTGCGGAGTCGTTGACGTCAATGATGACATCATCAGGAAGAGCACGACGCATTCGGTGACACAAGATGTAGATTTGACTTGAACATCTAGAAAAAAGTTCAAAATAGAGAACTTGATGGAGTTCTTTCGTTTATTTATTTCTGGTCCTTTTAGGACTTTGTGTATGAGATATCTGAATGGCTTTTTTGATTAAGAGATGAATATGGAACTGATGTTAGTGAGACGCAAGTGGAAAATAAAAATGGCAAACAGACATTCATTTGTTTTTATTTATCTATCTTTACTAGATTGAGAATTGCATCCATTATTATTTTGATTTTCGACTCTGGTTCAGTTATAGAAAACTCCAAACCCCTTTGACCCCTTCATGTCAAGCCGTCGTTTTACCTTCATATTCTCTTGACGATAGTTAATACTAACCTGGTGAACAGATGTACTTGTGCTTGCTTATAACCCGGACGAATGAGTACAGCCACTCCCTGAAGTGACCCGTTATTGTCATAGGCATGACGTAAGCAGTCATCGGGATTTAATGATGTCATATCACCAACAACATTGTCTGGTAATTGAAGTTCTTGTCGTATTACATGAACAACATCAAAGAGAGTAGATATGGTACTTGATAAAAAGAACTGATTWAAAAAAAAACAAACAAAAAACAAAAAAACAATAGTATTAGTTTATCAAGACACAAAACCGGTATTTAAGAAATAGCCTCAAATGGGTAAGCATATGACATACGTATGACATAATCAAGGTACCTGCTGAACCAGTAGTTATGAGGTACAAAATTGTTAACAAAATCCAAATGTAAACACACAATCTTTTCAAAAGTGAATGTCAGTTTGACATTTAGTCATTTTCGCGGGAAATAAAAGCCAAAGGCATGGTAGCCTAACAACATGACCTAACAGGACCAAGGAATCACTAACCGTGGTTTCCGTAGAAACTGCTTTTACAGCCAGAACATCGCGTCTTTTATTCATCGTATCTTCTAGTCTCCTTGAGGTATTTGATATACCTAGTTCATCCAGTTGATCCACTGACAGATCAACGTATCCACAACTTATAGCCTTCCTACACGGTGGGTTGTCGTCATGGTAACGTGTCCATGACAACAYCAATGAACATGAGTATTTGGGACCTCTTTGGAATGACGGCAATTCAGTGACAGTAACAACACAGATTTTTTCTCCCACTTTCAACTCAGACTTTTCATGTAAGCCACTGTTTTCGTGCACCTTTCTTCTCTTTGGGTAAGAAACACAGTCATTTTTATATTGGTGGGAATCGGTAGTACCTTCAAACCCTTCGTTCTGATCACCTGGTACGAGATCTACGAGTCTTGGATTATTGGTGTCGAACACTTTATAACACCATGACTTGACGTTACCTTCTTTGACGCTCACCAATGAAAATGAAATGTCAGTCATAGGGCTGCAATGGAATTTAACTCAGAGTTTGGTATAGATCCGCATATCAAGTGCTCTTATACCTTGTCAAATAATAAGTACAATTGTGAATTTAAGACTAAAGACTTTAGACCAAATCCAATTATGTACTAGCTCCCACCAAATCTAATTCAAAGTACGCTAATATAAACTATTTTCTTGCTTTTGCTAAATGCACAGTCATTCGTGACAGGCGGTAAGAATAAATGTAATTTAGCACGTAGCCTCATACTGAAACCTTTGTACGTGACAAGCGAAGCATATCTCGGAGGTGGGCTATTGACACATCCCTCCCTCTCCACCGTTCTGGGGCTGAAGTCAGGTAGCCTGCGTGCATCCGAACACAAACTGTTGAGTTAGGTTCGTCTGACGTCAGGTGGAATCAAATTTCTGATCCCTCCAGGACTTACCCCCGCGGGGACTTACCTTCGTTCCTTGTTTTCCAGTTCAATTCCAACGGCCCACTTATCAACCAGCAGTCTTTGCCATACATCCAGTACTCTTGGACCAAAAACAGGCTGTGCAAAGCTGGCTTCTTTTTCTTCTTCTGAAGTCAAGTCTAATTCTGTCAGTTGATTAGGAAAGAGCGATTATATTTCACCATTGACATTCAATCAGCGCAAAAATAGCAGAAAATATCGCCATTCTTTGAATGCCGCTGCACGAGTGCAAATGAGTCACCAAATTCAATCTTTAAAAAAAACGTCTTCAAAAATCAGTTTATCTTTTTTTTTTGTGCAAGGTATTTATCATCCAACCCCCCCCCCCCCCCCCAACCCAAACACGTATTTGCTTGCAGCGACTCACTTTACGGCCCGCTTCCTACATCAGTACTCGGTTTAGCGTATTAAGTCTATACGGATTAGGACAAGTGTAAATCACTGAAAAATGAATTGATAATAAAACAGGTTTAACATACCTTCTACCACAGGTTGACCCTCGATTAAACACAGACAACTGGAATCCTGAAAACACAAAACAAAAGTTCTTTACGGAAATGCCACCCACTGGTATCTTTTTTGAAAATTTTGGATATCAATATGTTCGGCAGTGCATTAACGTCGCGACAAAATAGGGTTTTGATGGAGGTCTGTTTCTATGACACTTTCGCTCTAATGAAGGTGTCTTTCTAAAACATCCATCAGGAAGAATGAAAAAGTCTTTTGGATACAGGTCTTTTAGTGTTGCTGCGTCCACTTCATGGAATGCTCTTCCCGCTAGCCTTCGTAATATCAAGTGCATTTCTACTTTTAAGTCACATCTTAAGACTCATCTCTTTAAACTAGCGTATAATATAGATTATTAACTATGTAATGTATTTTCATTTCTGAATTTTATTTGTATATTGTATATTTATTGTTGTAATGCGCTTTTGATCATTATATGCTAAAAAGTGCAAAATACATTAATAAATTAAWAAATTATTATTATTGATTATTGCCCAAGTCAATTGAAACCCCTGTCTCCCCGACTCACGGGACAGGGCGGGAAATTAAGGTGGCGAGACCGGGGATTTAACGCTAATTTAACAGCGTGAATGCAAAGGTATACGGGGAATTTAACAGGTACTTCAACAGTTTAACAATTTCAAAAACAACAACTTCAAAAATGTTAACAGCAAATCCTTCCCCGGGAATAATCGTGGGCAGCGGGTGTTGTTAAGAAGCATTAACAATAATTAATGCAATAATTAATAATTAACAAAAACTTATGATCATTTTTTATAAAATAATTGGGATACCACGCGCGCTATGATTGGTCGAAAACCATGTTTGATGAGAGTATCAAAACACGCTCGCGTCATCCTTTACAAAAACATCAGAGYAATACCATATTGTTTTCGTTTTTTGGCGTGTTTGTTATTTTATAAAACAGATCAAAAAACAGTTTTCCGTGTTTGATATTGTGATCAAAACACTTGGGATGATGGGAGAACACTCGAGAAGCTGGAAACCACTCTGCTACGCGTCGTGGTTTCCTACGCTCCTCTCGTGTTCTCCCAAATCCCGCGTGTTTTGATCAGAGTTTATAAAATAATTGGGATACTACGCGCGCTATGATTGGTCGAAGACCATGTTTGATGAGAGTATCAAAACACGCTATCGTCATTTTTAATCTATCGCGCGCGCTCATTGGTCAGTTTGAATAAGACGGCACGTAGGGAGAATTTACTTAGACTTTGCTTTTTTTCGATCTTTTCGCGCGTTTGTTATTTTATAAAACAAATCAAAAACAGTTTTCTGTGTTTGATACTC